AGGTTGACGTACATTCGCTCCTGGGAGCGGGGCTCCAGCAGCTCCACCCAGTCCGAGCTGCAGGAGCAAAGGAAAGCAGAGTCAGGCTGGGCCGGGGCACAGGGCGGCCGCCCGCTCACTCCCGCACCGGTGGTTCAGACCCCACTGCAGAGGGCCTGTGCCTGTGCTTGCCACACGAGGGATTGGCCTTGGGGCTCCTCGTACTGCTCTGTGCTCAGAGGGCAGGACTGGTTCGAGGGCTTTTCCTCCACCCACACCCAGAACAGCTGCCTCTTCCGAACCCCGGGAGGGGAGGCTAGCCCCACTGTTCGGGGGCCAAGTCCGGATGTAAAATCCCAGGGCGTCAGTTACTGATGAAATGTCGCACAGGCAGCTGAATGGGGGATCTAAGTATGGGGGGCTTGTTGGGGGTCTGGGTGCAACAGTAATGGGGCTCAGCAGGGGTGTGGGGTGGGGATCCAGGTGAGGGGTGTCTCTGGGTGGATGGGGGAGCAGCTCTCTGTACAGGGGGAAGGGGAGTTGGCAGCGCTTCCTCCAGCCAGAGGAGAAGTCACACAGCCCCACGTGGCGGGCAGGGAAGAGGAAGTACCGTTCACCCAAGCCCGGACTTGCACCTGAGCCCAGCTGAGTGCAGGAGCCACCAGCCCAGCGCCCATCTCCTCCTGCTAGAGAACACGCCTGGGGAGCCGGCGGGAAGCTGCAGGGGACGGCAGTGGGTGCCAGGGGACAGACTGAGCCTTTCTCCAGTGCAGCTAAACCTGCTGCCAGCTGCCTCTGGGTCGCTGCACGTGGGCTAAGAGCTGCCGCATTGCTGGCTGTTCTGCTGGAGGTGGGAGGATCCCAGAGCTCCAACTGCAGCCCCAGCCTAAGCTCTGCCCCACCCTCGCCCCACAAGCCTCAGCCAGCTGGCGGCCAGTGGCAGGGGGGGGGGGGGACAGTGGCGAGCGGGGACTCAGCCACACAATCACTGCGCGTGTAACTGACACAACCTGGCCGTCTTAGAGGCGCCAGCTGTTTTCAGAGGAGGACCCCGCAAAGAGAGACAGAAATCCCAGAGCGTCTCAGAGCAAGAATGGAAAGTTATGCATCTGAGGCAGTGTCCCTTTTAAACACATGGCATTAGTGAAACAATGGCCTTCTGTCTCATGCAGCGTAAAGCCTGCCAGTCATTGATAAGCCAAGACACAGAGCCTCTTGACAACACAGACGAGCTGCTGTTCTGCAGCTGGGGAAGGACCTGGCTATTTCTCCACCAGCAACGTCCACAAGATTCTGGTGGTTAAATGCATCAAAGGTAACTCACAATGTGCCAATCTCTCTCACTCTTCAGGCAATCTCTCGGGTCGCAGCTGTTCCTGTCTGATTTGTTACAACAATTAAGTAGGAACAAATGCAGATGCGCCCTTGAAAGTCTCAAGTGTCCACACCAAGGAAAGTGATAGAAATGTAGCCATGTTAGTCTGGTGTAGCTGAAACAAAATACAGGACTCTGTAGCACTTTAAAGACTAACAAGATGGTTTATTAGATGATGAGCTTTCGTGGGCCAGACCCACTTCCTCAGATCAAATAGTGGAAGAAAATTGTCACAACCATATATACTAAAGGATACAATTAAAAAAAATGAACACACATGAAAAGGACAAATCACATTTCACAACCGAAAGGGGATGGGTGGGGGGGAAGGTAAATGTCTGTGAACTAATTATATTAGAGGTGATAATTGGGCAAGCTATCTTTGTAATGGATTAGATAATTAATGTCTTTGTTTAAACTTAGGCGTAAAGTGTCGAATTTAAGCATGAATGACAGTTCAGAGAATTCTCTTTCAAGAATCACAAAGAAAAAACAGTTTCTTGCCATTTCAACCAGAAAGGACACTGTCTCAATGACCTAAGACCTTTTAAGACCACACTTCTATTGGCCTTGTGGGTTCCAGTTCTGTGTCATTAAATAGATCCAGAGAGACGGTGACGGTACATCGCGCTGCCTTGTACATCTGGACAAGTTTAGAGCCTCTCTTTCCTCTCCTAGTCTGTAAAACTTATGGTGGGCTTGGTAGTTTCTAGCTTACACTGCTTCATGCTCAGTACAAATTGAAACATTTGCGGGTAGCTGGCTGCAAGTGTAGAGACAACCTTCCCGAGAGACCGTGGGAAACGAGAAATTACTCTGGGTTTCAGGCAAACACACAGGGGCCAATGGTGGTTCATGACGAGGTGTTGTGGAAATGTAGGATAGCTGTTTCTCCTGAGAACAGGACGGTTGCAGACAAGTTCTCTTCATTTTCATTTTATTGCAAGTGTCAAAGACTTCTCTGCCACACTCTGCTCTGCCTTCTTGGAAGTAGGGATGTGAAAAGTTAACCAGTTAACTTACTGGTTCCAGTTAATCAGTGGGGGCTGCTGCAGCTGCCCCCTGCCTGCTCCCCTTAAATAGGTTAACCAGGTAACTTATTTACCAGGATTTTATACCCCCGCTTGGAAGCACCTTCAGCCAGTCTGACTCAGTACTCTGTGCTTTTCTATTTGAACACACTCAGCAGTAGAAGCAGGGACACCTTTACCCCTGCATGGGCAGATACCTATGGCCATTAGCAACTCAGTTCCCATAAGAAGGGCCAGACAGGGTCACCCCAAAGGCCCATCTAGCCCTGTGTCCTGTCTGCTGACAGCAGCCAAGGCCAGGTGCCCCAGAGGGAGCGAACAGAACCGGGAAGGATCCAGGGATCACCCCGTCGCCCATTCCCAGTCTCTGACACACAGAGGCCAGGGTCCCCATCCCTGCCCAGCCTAGCTAATAAGTATGCTGAACCTACCCTCCATGAATGTATCTAGTTCCCGTTTGACCAATCGCACTGTAGTCGTGTCAATGCCGACTCCTCTGATGCTTCCCCTGATTCCCCCTCCCCTGCTGGCGCTGGGTCTGTAGGTGTGAGCCCGTGTGCAGGACGAACCGGGGGGCAAAGAGCTCCAGTCCCTTCCTTACATGCCCATTGTGCTACCTAGGCCAGTTCAACTCTGTGGTTCCTGTGGCTGGTCCAGGGGGCTGGAGTCTGCCTCTGCGTGGAAGCCCTGGACCCAAGCCAGAAGCCACGGCCCGGGACAAGAGGATCTGCACGCTCAGGACCTGGGAAGAATCAAGCTGCTAGGGAAGCGCCTTCTTTCCAGCACGCTCGTTCAGCAAAACTGAGCCCCGTGTTCTCGTTAAGCGCTACGGCCGTGGGCCCAGCCAGCCACCCAAGGGGCTCCGGCCCATCGGGACCTCGCCAGAGTTCCATGACAAGAGCCAGGGCCCGCTCTCCAAGGCGGCAGGGGAGCTCTGGGGCGTCTGTCCCACGGGTTGGACACGCCGAGATTCGGAAATCCTGGCCAGGGGAGCCCTTGAGGGCTTCCTGCCTCTAAGGTTCGGAGATGCGCTCTGGCACCACGGCTTTCCACGGCACTCGCCGGGTGCCAAACGGCTTCAACTGAGCCACGTGCTGAGCAAGGGGCCAGTCGGCAGCGCTGGGCTGCCTGGGAACCCAGGTGTCTGGGGTCGCACTAGACCCTCTTGTGGGCAATGGCAGGGCTCTGCTCTCTGCCTCCGGGGAGGGGCTGGTGAGCCCTAGGCGCTTGCACTGTTGGCCAGAAGCAGACTGGGCTTCCTAACCCATGCCCCAGCTCAGCTCCCCCGGATGCCACTGCAGGATGCCACTGGATCTCCTGTCCAGCCTGATGTGCAGTGATCCTGGCCCCAAGCGAGGCCGCTGCCCACCTGCAGAGACGGGTTATTAACAGCCCGGATGCTCCGCTGCAGCTGGGACAGCTTCCCGGCTGCATCTCGGCAGCGTCAGTTATGGGACAGCAGGGCCCCGAGAAGAACCAGCCTGTCCTCCAGGGTTATTGCCGGACAAAAGACTAAATGGCAAAGAACACGCAGCGCAGCCTGGACCCTCTGGCTCAGCTTCGCACCTCTGCTGATCAGCTCAGACCACCGGTCTCTCCAGCACCACGGCTCTCCTTCTGACGCCCCTTCCGTGCGGGCCCTACAGACGCCCAGTCCCACTGCAGCAGACACGAGCCTCCTTTCAACTGCCTTCTCCGAATTAACCCACGCTGGTAAGAACGCCACTGCCCACCGGCGCTCACGGGTATCGATGGGACATGAATATTACACACCCTAGGGACGGTTAGTCAGTTAACTGGCTAAAACGTAGGAGGGCCAGCGGGGGTGGGGCTGCTGTGGCCAGCTTCCCCTTGGGGGGAGGGAGGCAGCAGCCCCATGCAAGGGTTTCCAGCTCCTGCTCCAGTGAGGGTGATACTCACCAGGTAACTGGCTAACCGGTTCCCCATTCACATCTCTAATGCGCGCGCAGGCAGTTACTAACCCTCCAAACACACCGGCCACCCGGGTCTCCATGCACGTGACGTCAGCACTCTGTGGAGATGGAAAACCCTTAAGAACATCGGAACGGCTGATCGGAACGGCCAGAGCGACGGCCCATCCAGCCCAGTGGCCTGTCTGCCCACAGTGGCCAGTGCCAGATGCCCCAGAGGGAGGGAACAGAACTGGAAATCCTCACGTGACCCCTCCCCGGTCGCCCATTCCCAGCCTCTGGCAAGCGGACACTAGGGCACCCTCCCCACCCAGCCTGGCCAATAGACAGTGACCGGCCCGTCCTCCATGGACTGACCCAGTTCTTTTCCAAAGAGCCTCCCACAAAACCCACTGCCCAGCCTCTGCCAGAGCATGGAACGGCACAATGGTCCTTCCAGCACATCTCCAGCCAAAGGCCACTGTCAGAACGCAGGGCGGCCCTCACCTAGGTCTCACACCCAGACTGCGGCTGCCGCCTCTCTC